TTTAAAAAGAGACCTTGAAGCAAAAATCCACAAAAGCCAACACTTCCAAGAACGATACAATCCCAGATGAATTCCTTAGACCCCTCTAATGACTTCCTGCATCGGCTATTGTGGGTCTCTCACCCATAAACCCAAATATGCCGGCGCACCAAAAGCTGTCCCCTTTGCCAATGATTAATGTGCCGATCCTTGTCCAAGAATTATGTATTTGGGTTAATGTTACACCGCAACAGCCGAGCAATAGCAGCAACGCTTGCATTGCTTTAATTTTGTTTTAACACAAAAATTGCCAAGTACCAGTATTTATTTGATGTGCGCAATCCAAACGACCGAAGCCCCGAACATGGACTGCAATTTCCTTCCGTCGTTGAGCTGCGCATCTTGATCGCCGGGTTCTCAGGCCGTGGCCAGAAAACTGGTATGCCATAGTCAGAGTCAGAGTCAGAGCCAGAGCCGATGCCAATGCTGCTGGCTATTTCAAAATCTAACTGTTAACTGGAAAAGTTGAACGTACTAGCAGCATGCAACATGCAACGGCTGCACCCACGGCAGCACTAAAATCAGCAGCAATTCAACACAGAGAAAATAAACGAGGTTTTTTTAGATGAAAATCACAAAATATTCTAGAATGTTTTTTGAAATATTTTTATGAAAACTTCTAAGTTTAAAGACACCATCTTCAGAAAATGGTATTTAGTAACTTTAAGACCAAATTTCAATCGATTTTCTTGGCAGTGCAACAACTGCAATAGCGATCGGCCAGCGAAACGAGTTGAAAGCCGTTTTCCCTGTTTGCCAGCCAACTCTTGAAAGTGGTTTTGTTGTCTAACTGCGTTAGTTTCTGCTTTAAATTGTGCGCCCAAGCAGCTCCAGCTCCAGGTCCAGCTTAAACTCCAGTTCCAACTCCAGCTCCAGCGGGGCTTAATGGCTTTAACTGCAACTTCGGCTTTAGATCCAACTTCTTTTGCGGGTTCTCAGGCGGCGCGGGATAAATGTCATAGCGGCGGATGCGACGAGCGCATTTATCATTAATCAAAGACCCATCCAAGACCTCCGATATGCGGAAACTACTATCGTGTAGCTGTACACCAGATAGCTGTACGACCACCACCACCTGGTGGTCGATCATTTCCGCTGCCGAGTTCCTTTATTTTGACACTGGGCCAGCAACGGCAATTACTTCGGACTCCGATTGCTCTTGTCCCGGCAGCCCCTTCCCGGCTGCCCTGATTTATGAGTTTTTAATGAGCGGCAACTTTACACGAATTGTTAACAAGTGGAGACGCGTCGGCTGAAGCTGCTCAAGTGAAGTGATGCGACTATATAGGTATAGGAATACCAGTATATATATAAATACAACAAGTAGATCGAGCAATCGCACCTTGACATTCGCGTCGTGCGAATTGTCAGACCAGATGAAGATGCACCAATGATACGGTCAATGGGTCCCGGAATGTGGCAATACCCTAACTTCGACACAAATGTGCAATATCATTGAGGACGCACTTTGAAAAATAAACTCGAAAGTTTAAATACTTTTGAGATCCGTGGCTTAGCCTTTGAAATTAAGATAAAATATCTCTTTTCAAGAGCATTCCATTGTCTGCCTTTAAAAATACTTTATTTTCTGGTTTATGTTGTCGCTGGTGATTGATTATGCATTTTCATGCGAACTGGTTGCTGCAGTTTGGTGGCATGCGGGCAGGTGAATAGTGGTATGGTATCTGTGGAGTGCAGCCCAGGGTGACCCGCCCCTTTTCCTCCTGCCCGCAGCTTCTTGTTGGAGACAGGCCGGCGGCATTGTCTGCCAGGCGCGAAGTTATAAGCATATAACATACAACTCACTGGGAAAAAGAAAGAAAAACTCTAGAAAAAAAGATTAAAATATTCTTGTGTTGCAAAAGACACAACCTTTAATATTTTATCGCTGTGTAGTTAATGCTGTCAGTGACCTTCACATCGAGCCGCTGGAAAACCTGCAATTAGAAAAAACGTTAAGCCCCAAGATCAGAGCACAGATTCCTCACACAGGTTTCGTTTTGCAGGCGCCCCAAGATTTATGCCGCAAAATAAAAAAGGGTTAAGCAGCCTCCGAGAACGCACCTTCTTTCCAGCGACAGTTTGACATTGAAAAAGTATAATTAATTGATGGGGACCCACCAGCAGGTGGAGGCGTGGCCAGGGGCAGATTAAATCGATTATGTGAGATTTATGACACAAAATACTTGTGTATAAAAACTAAAAATGGGGCGCCGCCTGCAATTTAAGAATCAATCAAATACCAATTACCGTTCGCGACATTCAAAGCTAAATTACACTCGAAATACACAAGTAAATACGAAAAATTCCCAACTACTGTCGAGTGCATCGATGACGCGTCCGCATCCGGTCGCATACCTGTACTTTTTTTTGGGTGTGTTCTGTGGAGATTCCACCACCCCTCCCATTCCTCAGATCAGATGATGCACAAAATGTTTGTTTAGCGAGAAACACATCTTTCAAGCTATCAGCATTTATTTTTAATAAAGATGCCATCATTAATTTTACGTATATATTTGCCTTTGTGGAGAGTATTTTTCGGGCGATAGGGGCAAAAATGTGTCACTCGCTTCTTTGACTTTGATTTAGTGGCTAGACAGGTTAGGACCAGATGAGATCATCCCCAGAGACAGGGGGCAGCAACAACGACAGTGACGTTGATGGCGGCGATAGCGTTGACAGCATCACGGCAACAACATCAGCCGCTGTGATCGGGCCAAAAGGAAGAGCCAGTTTTTCGATTCAACGTCTTTTCGGCCTTAACCACCGACAAGCGGCTTAGACTGTGCTTGAAGTGGCCGGCGGCTGTTTTGGCCTTCATTCAAAAATTATTTGACATTGTACAAATATTTTGATAAGATCTGTGGGATTGAGTGCGTATATCTTATGGCCACTGTTCCGTTAGTTAAAAAATAAGCTTAAAGGTTAGAGAATTAAAAGAAATTTTAACAGAAATCTTTTTTAATATTTTCAATGCTGCCACTCTGCAGTCATTAGTACATTTACCAACACTGTGAACTTCCGCCAATTAGCGATTTCCGCCATTTTGAATTATTACCCACCACTAGCTGTCAAATTAAAAAGAAAGTCATTAGAAACGTGGCAGATAATTCCTATTGAACTTTATTTCCTGATAGTTCGAGAATTCAAAATACGTGCAAAATATGAAGAATCCCAGTTTGGGTTCACCTCCGCAGAATTGCCTTGAAAGTTTCGGGCATTTCGTGATTTCCAATCGAAGAAAAATCAGCAACCGAGGGAAACAAGAAACCGCACTTGCCACATTTATCACGCACATATATCAGCTTGTCAGCCAAAGGGAGCCAAGGAAGTCCCAGAGAAAGAACCAACCAAATTACGCTCATTTTGTGGCCACATAAATTTATCAGCCAGGCATCGGGCATCACTGCATATTTCCTGTAGCCACAATACACAATAAAAAGCCTACGCCGAAGTCGAAGCTTTGGGAGCTGTGGAATCGAGGAAACCAGGGGCCAACTTTAATTAAGTGATCATGAACATGGGCAAACACAAATCGCCAACGGCCGCTGGCCAAGCTGCCTCGGATCTGGGAAAAGGCCAAAACAAGATTAGACGCTGGTCTGCAGCACTTCAAATGTCGTTAGAACGAAGCAAATCTATGGCCTCGGCCAATTCTTTTTATGGCCAGGTTAGCCAGCGCAAACAAGACTCTGTTCCAATCCTTGGTGCCTACTGCTGTAATCTCAGCCAGACTTCCTTCTTCTGCACAGCGCATGTAATTTGGCTCAGAGTGTGTATTTTATTTAAGCGTTTATTAGCTGATAAACCGAAATAGATAAATCGTGGTCCAAAAGGGAAACCAAACTCGCCAACCCAACTGACCATATACCTTGGCTTACCTTTAGCCCGTTGAGAGTTTTATGGCCAGCCGGCGGCGCTGTTTTTCCAGTTCACTCTCCTGGTTTACAGATAGATAATGGCAAATATTTTTTTACACACGTTAAAACATTCACGCCAGGTTAAGAAAGTTGTTTGTTCACGCCCCATCCGCCACTGCTACAGCTAGACCTCATTAGGATGACTTGAACGGGCAGTTTCTATACCTTAGCTTTATGAATTGTATTCGTAGGATCTTAGAATATATAATACTTATGTAGATTCAAGATGCTTATATTTTTGCTAGAAAATCACGCTTCTCAGAGACTTCCGTCTTAAACAATCTTATGTAATAGTTATGAGAAAGCGTACACCACCTTCCATATAAAGATGCTATCGCAGTTCGCACAAAATTATATCATTTTCCCAAAAACCCCGGGCGAGGCACAGTTTTCAGTCATTCTACCAATTAACACAATGTCCAGTGCCTGTTTTTTTCATTTTTCTCGTTAGTCGGGCCAAAGTCTGATGAAAATGAGTCGCCGGCGTCTGAAAACTAAAAACTGAAAGTGGAAAATGAATGCGTGAGAAAATCGCCAACAGGTAGCTAACAATGAATATTGCGAGCATTAAAAATTTCTGCCTCGTCTAAAGGTGTTTGGGTATTATATTTTTATGCCGGTACCGTTGTTGGGACATTTATATTTATAATTTTTCAGGGAAAGGCAAAGGAAGCGATAAGCCTGGGACCTGGGGGGACTCATGTTTGCGCATAAATTTCAAGTGTCATTTACCCGACTTGGCGCATTTGTCTTTTGTTTCTGCTTTATTGTTATTTTTTGGCACCTGTCCGAGATGACCAGGCCAATTGTAGTTATTTTTCCTGTTTCGTTTGTTTGTGCGTGCCCAACATTTTAAAGTTAATTATTTTTATTTGTTTTGCGGTGAGAAGAGAGCGCCGAAAGCCTAAGCCGAAAAGAGTCTAGCCATAAGTGGCTATTCCCTGGCGGCCTTAATGGTATTTATTTTTTTTCTTAGCTTAACGCGCTTTTAATTGATTTCCAACAGTTTTTAATGTACTATTTCTCTTTTTTTCTTTTCAGCAAAAATGAAAATATTTTTGCCACTAGTCACGTGGATAGTGCTACTACTCTCGAGTGCAGTAAGTATTTTCAAATCCCACTTACATATCATAAAGCTAATTAGTGTTAAGTTGAGGCGGTAAAGTTGAATATCGATGCGATTAGATCAGAGTCTGACATCAACGGTTAGCGCAGGGGTCATAATTAATTTATGGGTTCTCGAAAGGAGCAAACAAAGAGCCGAGAAAAAGAAATATATGATTAAATTTACGATCTGCCACCTCATTATGAAACAAATTTCCGAACAAATACACGGGGATTCGAAGTGAAAGAACCCCAGTGAAGCAGCGGTGAACAAACAAAAGTCCATTTGAAAAAGAAACAATACGTAGAATCCGAATCCGACTCCGACTCTGTAGAGAGGGAACAAATTATAACGATGGAACCCTTGATGACCTAACGGGACCTGTTCGGAGAAAGACTCCACCTCTCATGCAAATGAGCCATAAAACGAAATTACTGCAAAATGACTTGGATATAGGCAAATCATATTTATTAAAACTAACAGCTAGCTGTGAAATCTTCCGGAGGGTTCTGCTGGATGCTAAGCAAATAATTTGGCCAAGTGGAGAGCCAACAATGAGAAGACGGATAGTAATGATAGGGCTAGCGGAAGAGCAGAATCACCACGGTCATCGACTGACCGACCGGCCGGGGAACCAAACCAAACCAAATCCGAACGAAGCCAATCGATGGAAGAAAGCCAGGAAAACGTAATGAATAAAAATAGCCGCATTAGCTGTAAAAACGCTTTGATAGTCATCGATTTATGCAGTTGGAGAGGCGGTGGTGCGAGGTACCCAGGGGTGTCTGGTGTGAATGAGGGAACTCCGGCTCCGGCTACCAGGGCGGCAGGTTTGAGAAATTGGCCAGAAGAATTCTCTAAGCCGAAAGTCGTCGAGTTCAATGACTTGTGCGACTTTAGCCCGCTTGTGGTTTTCTTTGCGACACTCTGTCAATGGACCTTACCTCTTGATGTTCTTTTATGGATTTGCTTTCTTTTGTGCTTTGGGACTTGATTTATGCGAGTCTCTCATAATTCATTTGATTAGCTAGATATGATTATAATTAATTGTGAACTCGGTGGTTATACCTGCCTGTTATTTTTTTTGCCAATCAAATGGATCTGACTAATGGATGGTTGGTTTTTTCAAAGCATGGTTAGTGGAAGAAGGTGAATGTAGATTCTTTTATTTCAAAGAATATTTGTTAGTGAGCTGGTTTTAGTTTCTTTTACTTTTGAATTAGAGACTGTATAGGGCACAATAAAAGATACTTTTATAGAAATGTGGGGTTCATACACTCCCCATTTGGTAGCTCCTATCCTCCTGAGGGCTGGAAACAGTACTGATATGCAATAACAGAAAATCTCTGCTCATCAGGAGGGAGTTAATGCCCATTGACAGTTATAACGGATATGCACTTGAGCACTCGAACACTTGAACGGTGACGTGCAACGTCGTCATCTGTCTTCCGTTGTCACTGAGCCTGTTAACAAGCTTGACTACGAAAAATTGCACTGTGCTGGTGCATTGTAGTCGCTGGCACAACGCTCAATGTCATGGGAGCTTTCAGCAGCCCAGTCGCATCATCATCATCATTATCATCCTCGTCATGATTCCGCAGTGGCATCCAGTATCAGCATCAGCATCCACATCCACATCGGTTGCGCACATCTTTGCTCGCACACCTTTAATTGTTGCATTTGCTGTTGTTCAAGTTGTTGGCTTTGTGCCTCAGTTGAGTGCATGTGCCGTCTCCCCTGCCTGACTGTCAATTGATAAAAGTCGCAGAGTCGGCGGAATCTATTGTTTAGCAAGGCCGTTAGCGTTGCATGGCGTGAAGTGATCGCAAACCACACACACACACATAAGCCACAAAAAAAAAGCAATTGAAAACCCAGGGAGCAGCCCAGAACTTGAGGGGCCACATGCGGGTGCTTCTCCGCCAGAAACTCCTCCACCAGCAGCAGCAGCAACCCGATAAGAATCTGCCTAAAACAATTCGCGGCTAAACTTGAACTTGACAGCCAGTGTCTCATGTTCACACCTTCGGCAGCAGGGTCGCAAAGCAATTTAAGTTGCTTTTTTATGGATGGCCTCCCCGGTGCTCATTAGGCCCAATGCTCCTCAAAACAAAAGAAGAGAAAATTGGTCTTAGTCTTGGAGGAAACTGGGAAAATTTAGCGAGATCTTTGTTGGAGGCGAGCTGTAATTGAAAAAGAACTGGCAGTAATTGAGTCAGTGAACTGAGCAAAAGAAAAACACGATTATATCAAGAAATATATAGACCCTTAACCAGAAACTATTAAGCACCTAAACTATTACATTATTTTCTTGATTAAAAAATGATTCAGCTTGTTTAACAAATATTTAAGCCTTTACCAAATCTGATCTAACCACTTAATAACTATATTTGAGCGTAGGAAGTGGAATTCAACAAGCTATACAAAAATAGAAGTACAATCGTACATGTACAACACCAGCAATGCGACAAATACATTTCAGTTTGGAGGAAACTAGTTTTAATTCATTTTTGTTAGAGCACGAAAAGGTCTTAAGTGACAAACTTGTTTCCCAGTCAGCCATCTAACAACAATCTGGAAAAAAAAACACCCGATCTGAGCTGCCAGCCAGACGGCAAAGTTTTGGCCAAGAAAATATGGCAAGCGGCAAACAACTTTTGTTTTGCTAAAAGTAAAGTCAGCCAAGTGTAACAATTAAGTGGCGGCTCAGCAACACAAACACACACTGTGTTAGTGTGTTTCCATATAAAAGAATATACATATCTGTACCTTTACGATCGGGTCGTGCCCATATGGACCACATTGGGTTGAGAAATCTGAAGAAGAGCTGCCGGTGCTACGCCTGCTAACTTTGCTGTATCTAATTTGAATTTAAATTAGTTTAGCGAAACCAGCTTGGGCCCCTAATATACTCATCGGAATGAGGTTGCAGCGAAGGTTGGCATTAGGGCAGAGTTTAGGCCTATTAATAGATGTGTTTAAAGCTGGAGACATTCAAGGAAATGGGTCATTATTCTTCAGTTAAAACTTTAGTGTTTGTAGTATTGCTGGAAAAACAAATGACAATCTTTATGAAATAATGAGTAACCTTTTGGGAACCCTACAAATTTATGGCCTCTAAAACATGTTAGCTCCAACACAAAGTTGCATCTTATTAGCATTTAGTTAGGCATACGGAAAGGGGTCAAAGCTGGGTGGCAACTACCACTTAGTACCCTGAACAACTTCCTCATTTTTGTGCGTGCAATTAACTAATCCAATTCTATTGTCTATCTCTGCAGGTACATTCACAATTTTCACAACTACGGCAACCATTCAAAAGGTCCGCTAACTTAAGAGGGAACAGTCGGTTTCGGGGTGAGGTCTTCTACCTGAACCTCGAGGATGGCTACTTTGGCTGCCAAGTCAACGAGTCCACCGACTATTTGCAGCTGTACGAACTATCGAAACTATGCGACGGCACCCAGGACTGTTATCTGGGTTCCGATGAGCTGAGCAAAGAGCTCAAATGCACAAGTAAGTCCCACCAGTCCGTCCTATCTATATGAGATCTCGTGAAAGCTTAATGGCTAATAATGTTCTTGAATTTCGCCAATAGATGACTGTGATAAGGATGGCACCCAGTGCACTCATGGCGCGTGTTTGAATGGCGTCTGCCATTGCAATGACGGCTACGGCGGCTGCAATTGCGTGGACAAAGGTGAGTATTTAATGGCGGTGTCTCGCCTTGCATAACTGTTAGTGCCCGTGGTGCTGAAACACCTCCATTTCATCTCCTCTCCGCAGACGAGAACGAATGCAAACAGCGGCCGTGCGATGTGTTTGCCCATTGCACAAACACACTGGGCAGCTTTACGTGTACCTGCTTTCCGGGCTATCGCGGCAATGGCTTCCACTGTGAAGGTAAGTCCGACACTGACAAAAAAACTCTATTAAAAAAACCATCATCCAAGCAGCAACCTTAGTCGCAGAATCAGCTTTGCTGGTTTCTTTTGTATTAGTTAACATAATGACTGGTCAGCCAGCCAGCCAAGCAACCAACCGGCTACATAGTACAAATGATTGTAGTTGCCGTTTTGTACTTCCGTCAACGTTACTTCTTGGCCCAGACTTGGGCCTTTTTGTAGCTTCGCCAGCTAACGGTTTGTGCCATTCCCAGCCAAGTCGTCTCAAGTGCCCAGCCTCCAAACGCTGAAAATGTAACAAAAGACGCGCCAGACAATAATATGAAAGCTTTCTCAGGTTCAGAATAGAGTTATACTTATCTGCGAGGTAATAATAATGACCGTGTAGCGATTACACTCGAGTGCTTTTTCTTGCCACGGCTGGAGCGGATTAGAGAGAGAGCCATAGGCGGTGAATCTAATTCCAGGTTCTGACCAAACGAATTCCGAAATATCTCAATCAGTTTCCGCCGATCTGCTACAGTTTCGATCCTGGGGTCGGTGCCATTTGCTCGTTAGCCTAAGTGCCGCACAGCAGGCGTCCGAAAAGAAAAAGCTAGAAGATGGAGTTCTGGGCTGTTAGTTGTTAGTTCTTGGTTCTGGATTATGGCGCACCTGTTCCACTCCACATACGAATCCGAGACGGAATACTGGGAGATGACAGTGAGAAACCGGCTGCCATAATTGGACGGCGGCTAATGTTACGTAATAAAAACACATTATGGCATCACAAAAACCAAAGAAGAACGAATCGAAAACAAGAACAACAGTGAGAGCCGCCAGAGTAATAACTAGGAAAGTGTACGCGAAGAAGTAGCCCCCTACTTTTCCTCAGACCTCAGACCTAACGCAAGTAGTGCGAGGTACTATTTTCTTTATAGATGATGATGATGATCATGGCGGTTGTTGGAGTGGAGGAATAGGAACAATAAAAAGCCACAGCATTTGTGGCAATGCTCTCGAGCCATGCAACACATCTCCGTGGCTGTCTGTTAGACGGAGAATCAGTGTCATGTAATCTGACCCCGAACATGGACACGCCAGAACTTTCAACACTCTGTCTGTAGTCCGTAGTCCGGAGGAATAGAGATTGAGACGCCCCACCTTTAACCAGATCTGATGCAATGCGATAACGAGCGCAAATTTCACAGACACTCTGACATTACCCCACTAAGTATGAAGACGTTGGCAAGATTCTAGATTACATGTGACGACCACTGATGTGGAGGAGAGTTTCCATTCCATCCAGTCCATGCCATCCTATCCCATCCAGCGGAAGGCATGCATAAATTCTGAGCAACGATGTGTAACGCCAGCATCGCATTTCACATTATTCGCATTATCTAATTCTTTTCTATAGAACGCCTTTTTTCGCATATTATTCACGTGGCATCGGGGACAGGGCCCTTCCAGAACCCCACAATTGTCTGTAATCATCTGAATTAGTTTTAAATGTGCTGGGAACTTTCGAGTCGTTGCTGTCTGCACATGTGCGTGGAATATTTGAATCTTCATCAGGGGCACGCACCTGATTTTCCCAGGTATGCCCAGTCAAGTGCCTTTAAACAGACAATTAAAATGTGATGTTTTAGGCGACCTACTGGTAGCACCTACTAGCATCTCTGAATAAAGGTGAACTTATGGTGTAGTCATGATTTACCTAATAGACTTGTCTAGGAGTAGATTATTCTATTTCTGGTGTATGAGATCTAAGCCACCCATAATTAACTTTAAATATGAGTCTGGGATATTGATTTCCGCTGCTGTCGTGCATAAGATTTTCAAGTGTCCCCTTGGCGTTATGTAAATCCAGTTTCTGCATCAAGTTCACCCAATAAACTTTACAACAAATCACACTCCAATCGCCTGCCTGCTCTTGGCCTGACAAACCTACTCTCCACCGGCGGCTTAGAGACACATTTTGCGTATTTATATCTGTGTTGGACGGCACAGGTACAAGTTCCAGAGTACAAGTCTACCTGTTTTCCTGTTTGGCATTTGGCGATTTTCCCTCCTTACTTGCTGCATGTTGCAGGTCTAGCTAACGGTTTGTGGCAACACCTGTTTTAGACTCTGTGGCGCATTATTTCATGTTCATAACTCAAACGCGTTCGATGGCTTCGTTAACGCATCGCAAAAGTCCAGTTATGCAATGACTATTGAAAAATGAAATACCCACACGCACATACTTTCCAATAACTATATATATAGGTATATATAGCTATAGATCCAATCCGATCCTTCTAATGCATTTGTCTTGCAGCCCGGGCAATAAATGGAGTGAGCGTCTCAACTTGAGTGCTAAAATTTATTTCCACAGCAACAACTATGTATGTTTGTTTGTCAGACTGGTCCGCTCCAGCTTTTGGCCAGGCACGTTCACCAGTTCACTGGCTGAACGGCAGCAGGCGGCGGCTGGTGCTCCCTTTCGTTTCGCTAACTGGGCCAGATCATTAAAACGGATAAAGCCGATTGTGCCCACGTAGCAGCAACGCCGTCACAGTCTCGCGTTCGGCCTGGCTTTCGGTTTGGGTTTCGAGGCGGTAGCGTTGTCGGCGCTTAATGCCGCCTGTCCTCAAAAGCCGCAAACGGCACTGCCTCCATCTCCCGTAACAGCTCCATTCCCATTCCTGCTCTCAAGCCACCTCGACAAAAAAAAAATAAACCAAAAACCAAACCGACACCAACTTCAATCTGGTCGTCTTGGGCCGGACGACGCACCAGTTGGAGATCAACGTCAGTTGATAAGGTGTTACCATGTTTTCGATTCGTTTTCGGGATACTCTACTATAGGGTATGTAAGCTTTTAAGCTCAGAGATCTGAGACTGAATGTAAAAGATACAAGATACTTCCCAGGCCGTAAAACTTTAAAGACATTAAGAATGAGATCAAATAAACTGAAGCTCCGCCTCTACCTTGGCTATAAGGCTCCTTTATTTTTACCCTCCTTGCTGAGAAATTTTTTTGCCAGGTACTTTGCACTTTTTGCATATCAAAATGGCAGCAATTAATTCTCGTGTCGAAGTCGCCGCTGATAAGGCAAGAAAATGGCTTAAAGCGTCGGCATTGACACGCCTAATTATACGCGCGTGTGTTGCCACATTTACGCACAAATGAGGGGCGGCTTCGCCGAGAAAAGCCACCCATGGCTTTAGATTTGACTTTGGATACGGCCAGGTCGTGGCCCGGATCCGGCTGACATCACTTGCCGGCCGCCCGGCCTTGATCTTAGAGCACACCGTATGCATGCTAGCCAAGTTAGTTGCCGCATAATTGCGTAACAAATTGTTAAATAATTTTTGTATCTTTATTACTAGTTTTCTTTTTTTTGTTGAAGTATATTTTTGCTCGAGTTCAAGTTCACCTGTGTTAGCCAGACAAAGTTGTTAGACATTCAAGTTTATTATTATTTATTTAAGCTCCTAATCATCGCCCAGCAGTGGAGCATGAAAGTCATGTCCGCTCGTAAATTGTATCTCTTCTATATGGGATGCAGGCGAAATCGTGGCACGAATGTCATAATTCAAACTGTTGTGGCAAAAAAACGTAAATGCATCATATGAAGCCATTGCTAATTAGCTCAACAATTACACAATTTATTAGATAGACGCCAGCCAGACCAGACTAGTTGATCGTCCGTTCATATATTTAGATTAGTTTTGAGCCTTTCAAGTTCACTCGCTGATTTTACAATAGTCTGATTGATAATTATTTTTAATTGGAACAAAGCTGCACCGGAGCTGTTCCACAGTGCAGTGGGTTGTTTCGCAAATGTGTGAAGGAAATTTATTATAATTTATGTTAAAGGTAATTTCAAAGCAGGGACAGGAAACGTGAAATCCATCAGGCGAAACAGAAATTAAGCTATTCTCTATAAACCTTTTCTAAGCATTTTCCTTTCTGCATTCGTGCTGGTGTGTGTGTTTTTTTTTTTTAATGACCAGATCACCGCCTTTTAAAATGCCACTTGGAACAAGTCTCGGTTGGACGTTAGCATTTCAGAGAGAAGAACAGGAAATCCCAGAAGTCGACCCTGCTTAAGGCAGCCAACTAGAATTATGTCAGCATCATTTCAGGCAATCATTCGGCTTAATCACATCGAGTCACGCATATTTGATTGCTTTTAAAGCGGTCAAATGCGATGGAGAACAGACTAAAGGGTGGCTACTGAAAAAAAGCCAGAGATTTGCCGAAATAGAAGTACGATTTGCAGATGGAAAGCTGACTTCTAGGCGGCTGACTCGGACTAACAGGCTGAAAGAATATCATTCCTGGCAGGAGATGCAACGGGCGTGCTAAGTTCATTAGACAGTCTTTGGTCAATGGCCCGGGACGATCTACCGGGCCTGGGCTGGGTCTGTCGTCTTGCAGTCGGATTGCATAAAGTAATTAAACTGACATTGAAACTTAGAAGAACACTGAACGCTTCCTGCTTCTGAAAAGAGTCTCCTGGGCCTCCTCGGCCTGGCCCGGCTTTTGGCATGAGAGCGAGTCGTGGACGAGGATGATGACATTGAGTAATCAGAGTTTGCAATTTTCACAAACAACGTGGCGATGCCATGGCAAACATGGAATGCTGTCATATCAGTTGGCTGGCTAACAGAGCAAATACCAGTTTCGGCCCCTCGCCACTCCGGAGTGATGATCCTCTTAATTTATAAGCTAAAAACTAGTAATTATAACTGAACGTCCAACAGCCGACTCGTTCTGCTCGTAATTATAAGGCACTCACTCCTGCCGCCGCCTCTGTCCCTTGCCAGATCCTTGTCTTTGGCTTTTGCCAACTTTTGTACTTATGTCATATTAGCTATAAATGTACAACTCTTCCCTGGACATTGGCCCAATGATTAATGGGCCCCGATTGCGCCGGAGCGGCTGCCCATGCCTGCCCTCCGTTTTCTCAACCCAATCCATTTCAACCCAACCCAACCCATCCCATCCCATCCCGTCCAGCTGAGTTGCCGCTCCATTGGCTCTGACCGGCTGGCAATATTGAATTCTCAATGTGCTGCGCGCTATTGGAGCAGAAAGCCTTGTGATCGAGCTCCTCCTTCCGCCTGGGTTAAGCCGCGGATTTAGATCCAGAGACAACATATCATCTGGTCTAAGCAAAAAGGTTAGAACCTGTAAGAAAGGCCTCAAACATTATTCAAATCTCGAATCCAACCCAAACTAAACTACTTACAAAATTCCAAATGGAAATGGTTTCCCCATTAACATTGGCTGACCACATAGCCAATTGGTATGCAAAGCGTATGCAACTGGTGCATCCTGTGCTGTGACATTGCAACCAGTGGCTGCCACACCGCTGCAATGACACTGAAATGTCATGCGTAACATGCAAATCTCGGATGCATCCATTGCAACTGCGGCAGCACGATTGCAACTTCAACTTTTAAGTGCGATTGCAAAGCGAGCAAAGCGCATTCAAGCGGCAAAATGCGTAGAGCTCTAGAATGAGGTTGAGATGGGATCCTATCTGCGGATTGCCCCCCACAGAAATACACTGATAGAATAAAAATATTATTTTTCAAAAATCTGAATTTTCAATTCACTTTTTAGCGTATATTTTAATCAATTCGAAACCTATTCAAAAACGGAATACCTTTTATAAATCAGCTTTCCATTTTCCTTCGATCTGTATCAAAATAATATATTTATCGAACAAATAAAAATTTAGCTATTTTCTGCCAAAAATCATGATGGTACCCCTTGGAAAAATTTCGAAAAATGGTTCAAAAATTTGATGACCAGTTTTTGTTTGAAAAAGATTCTACTCTGTGTTCTAAGATCGGGAAGGTATAAGACTTTAGGATCCGACAAGTATTAGCCGAGTTATACCTATTTAATCTTTCAGAAAATCGAAGATATTGGTACTGACACTAAGAAACTGAATATAAGATATTGTCTTAAAAAGTTTTGAGTTTCAAACAGAATGTAAAATTTTATTAAAAAAATTCGCAAACTAAGTAAACTTTATTTCTTCAAGTGCCGGTTTCAAGGCGGAGATGAATATGCTGCATTTGGATTTTAATTACTTGTCATTTGTTGCGTGGCACGTTCGATTAATCAAAACCCCCCTACGCGCTCTCCTTTTCCACAGACGTTGACGAATGCCAAGATCCCGCGATAGCAGCGCGATGCGTGGAGAACGCCGAGTGCTGTAACCTGCCGGCGCACTTCCTCTGCAAGTGCAAGGACGGCTACGAGGGCGACGGCGAGGTACTCTGCACGGATGTGGACGAGTGCCGGAATCCGCAGAACTGCGGCCCCAACGCCCTCTGCACCAACACGCCGGGCAATTACACGTGCTCCTGTCCAGATGGATTCGTTGGAAACAATCCTTATCGGGAGGGCTGTGTGGATGTGGACGAGTGCTCGTATCCGAATGTCTGCGGACCCGGTGCCATATGTACGAATCTCGAGGGCAGTTATCGCTGCGACTGCCCGCCGGGATACGACGGCGATGGACGATCGGAGTCCGGTTGCGTGGACCAGGACGAGTGCGCCCGGACGCCCTGCGGCCGGAACGCAGACTGTTTGAATATGGACGGAAGCTTCCGCTGCCTGTGTCCGGATGGATATAGCGGTGATCCCATGGTGGGATGTGAGGGTGAGTCTTCAATTGCTTTTTCACTGAAAATTTTTATAGAATTTTTGATTACATCATCGTTACATTTTGGTTGTTTTTTTGCACTTGTTTTTACTGAATTTGAAATTGGCGGCACCAAAACCAAATACCAACCAACACCAAACACACACACATTCAAATTACTCGAACATTAATGCACCGCAACATGCAACATGCAACATTAATACAAAACTTAATGCCTAACGCCGGCAGATGTCGATGAATGCGCCACTAACAATCCATGCGGTTTGGGTGCTCAATGCGTGAACATGGGCGGTAGCTTCCAGTGTCGCTGTCCCCTCGGCTTTGTTTTGGAACACGATCCCCATGCGGATCAACTGCCCCAGGAGCAGCCGCTGGCAGGCTACGGGCCGGGGGCAACAGATATCGCGCCCATACAGAAGACGACGGGCGCCGGGCTGGCCTGCCTGGACATTGATGAGTGCAACCAGCCAGACGGTGTGGCCAAGTGCGGCACCAACGCCAAGTGCATCAACTTCCCCGGCTCGTACCGCTGCCTCTGTCCCAGCGGATTCCAAGGACAGGGCTATTTGCATTGCGAGAGTTAGTATTCTGCCTGCTTTTTGCCAAGATTATGAGCTTTAAATTCAGAGGTTTTTCAATATATTTGTTTTTGATTTAAAGTAATCTGGATTTTGTAAAGCCTAGAACTGCCTGAATTTAAAGCTCTTAATCAAGTATTTCCTGTAGGGCTGCAATCCTTTGGTTTCGATCAAAAGGACCTGCCAACCTTGATGGAAGAACTGTCTTCTCTGCTTTCCAATACCCGCTATTCTCCAGCTGTTTTTTGCAAGCTTTGAGCTCGGCTTTTTTGCTTCTCTGGCAGTTGCATGCTTTTCAGACAGCTTCCTTTGATATCCTGTAGTCCCTTTTCCTATACTTTGCCTATATTCTGCCCTATATGTTTCCGTATCTTTATGCTCCACCTTGATCCCGCTCCCCCACTTCACGCTATGCTCCCTCGCCTTCCATCCAATACGTATTTTGTCTTGCATACTAATTAATATAATTATAATATATATTTAACTCACCCCCCGATACCCGCGTATGCAAACGCGTTGCCCCCTTCTCCACCGAAATCCCCGTCCCTGCACCACCGTAGACATCAACGAGTGTCAGGATAATCCGTGCGGGGAGAACGCTATCTGCACGGACACAATCGGCAGTTTCGTGTGCACCTGCAAGCCGGACTACACCGGAGATCCGTTCCGCGGATGTGTGGACATCGACGAGTGTACGGCGTTGGATAAGCCGTGTGGACAGCATGCGATGTGCGAGAACGCCGTACCCGGCTACAACTGCAAGTGCCCGCAGGGATACGACGGGAAACCCGATCCCAAGGTGGCCTGCGAGCAGGTGGACGTGAATATCCTGTGCAGCAGCAACTTCGACTGCACCAACAACGCCGAGTGTATTGAGAACCAGTGCTTCTGTTTGGACGGCTTCGAGCCCATCGGAGCCAGTTGTGTGGACATCGATGAGTGTCGCACCAACCCCAACGTTTGTGGTCCCCATGCCCAGTGTCTGAACACTCCCGGATCCTATCGCTGTGACTGTGAGGCTGGATATGTGGGCAGTCCGCCGAGGATGCCCTGCAAGCAGCCTTGCGAGGATGTGCGGTGTGGAGCCCACGCCTATTGCAAACCGGATCAGAACGAGGCCTACTGTGTCTGCGAAGAGGGATGGACTTACAACCCAAGCGATGTCTCGGCGGGATGTGTGGACATCGACGAGTGCGATGTGATGCACGGTCCCTTCGGCAGCTGTGGCCACAATGCCACCTGCACCAACAGCCCCGGTGGCTACACTTGTGCCTGTCCCCCTGGATACTCTGGAGACCCGCACTCCAAGTGCGTGGATGTGGACGAATGCAGAGCGGGATCCAGCAAGTGCGGACTGGGAGCCGAGTGCGTGAATGTGCAGGGTGGAGGATACACCTGCCGCTGCCCAGAGAACACCATCGCCGATCCAGATCCGAGTGTGCGATGTGTGCCCATCGTGAGTTGCTCGTCCAGCTCTGATTGTCCCGGCAATGCCATCTGCGATGAAACCAAACGCTGCCTCTGCCCAGAACCTAACATTGGAAACGATTGCCGGCATCCTTGCGAAGCCCAGGATTGTGGAGCACATGCTCAGTGCATGTTGGCCAACGGACAGGCTCAGTGCCTGTGTGCCCCTGGGTACACTGGAAACGCCGCTTTGCCCGGAGGATGCAATGACATCGACGAGTGCCGTGCCAATCCCTGTGCCGAAAAGGCTATTTGCTCGAATACCGCCGGTGGCTACCTATGCCAGTGTCCCGGAGGCTCCAGTGGAGATCCTTATCGGGAAGGCTGCATCACCTCCAAAACGGTTGGCTGCTCCGACGCGAACCCCTGCGCTGCCGGCGAGAGTTGTGTCCAGGATTCGTACACTGGCAATAGTGTATGCATCTGTCGTCAGGGCTACGAGCGGAATCCGCAGAACGGTCAGTGCCAGGATCTAGACGAGTGCTCCCTGCAAAGAGGAAAGCCTGCCTGCGGCCTGAATGCTCTCTGCAAGAATTTGCCGGGAAGCTACGAGTGCCGTTGTCCGCAGGGTCACACCGGAAATCCCTTCGTTATGTGTGAGATCTGCACCACGCCAGAGTGCCAGTGCCAGGCCCCGTACAAGCTCCTGGGCAACAGTTGCGTCCTGGCCGGCTGCTCCGGTGGACAGGCGTGCCCCAGTGGAGCGGAATGCATTTCGATTGCCGGCGGTGTGAGCTACTGCGCCTGCCCGAAGGGCTACCAAACCCAGCCGGATGGATCCTGCGCCGATGTAGACGAATGCGAGGAGCGCGGAGCGAATATATGTGCGTTCGGAGCTCAGTGCGTCAACCAGCCCGGTGGCTACACTTGCCACTGTCCGGAGGGCTACCAGGGAGATCCCTACAACGGGCTGTGTGCCCTGGACCAGAGGAAATGTGCCGCCGACAAGGAGTGCGGCAGCAATGAGAAGTGCATCCAACCCGGAGAGTGCGTGTGCCCGCCACCGTACTTCCTTGATCCGCAGGATAACAACAAATGTAAGAGCCCCTGTGAACGCTTCCCTTGCGGTATCAATGCCAAGTGCACGCCATCAGATCCGCCTCAATGCATGTGCGAGGCTGGATTCAAGGGCGATCCCCTGCTGGGCTGCACGGACGAGGATGAGTGCGCCCACCTGCCCTGCGCCTATGGAGCCTACTGCGTGAACAAGAAGGGCGGCTACCAGTGCGTCTGTCCCAAGGGCTTCACTGGCGATCCGTACAAGAGTGGCTGCATCTTGGAGTCCGGTACTCCGAAGAGCAAGTGCCTCAGCAACGATGACTGTGCCAGCAATCTGGCCTGTCTGGAAGGCAGCTGCGTTAGTCCCTGCATTAGCCTCCTTTGTGGATCCAATGCCTACTGCGAAACGGAGCAGCATGCTGGATGGTGTCGCTGCCGCGTTGGATTTGTAAAGAATGGAGACGGTGACTGTGTGTCTCAGTGCCAGGACGTGATCTGCGGCGAGGGAGCGCTCTGCATCCCCACCAGTGAAGGACCCACCTGCAAGTGCCCCCAGGGTCAGCTGGGCAACCCCTTCCCCGGCGGCAGCTGCAGCACGGATCAGTGCTCGGCCTCCAGGCCGTGCGGTGAACGGCAGATCTGCATCAACGGCAGGTGCAAGGAACGATGCGAAGGCGTGGTCTGTGGCATTGGAGCCACCTGCGACAGGAACAACGGAAAGTGCGTCTGCGAACCAAACTTTGTGGGTAACCCAGACTTGCTCTGCATGCCGCCCATCGAGCAGGCCAAGTGCTCACCTGGATGTGGAGAGAACGCCCATTGCGAATACGGACTTGGACAGAGCCGGTGCGCCTGTAACCCAGGCACTTTTGGCAATCCCTACGAAGGATGTGGCGCCACCAGCAAGAATGTCTGCCAACCAAACAGCTGCGGAACCAATGCCGAATGTAGGGCCATCGACAACCACATTGCCTGTCTGTGTCCTCAAGGATTCAGTGGCAATCCCTACATTGGATGCCAGGACGTGGACGAGTGCGCCAACAAGCCTTGCGGTCGGAATGCCGCCTGCCTGAACACGGCCGGAGGATTCGAGTGTCTTTGTCTGTCCGGTCACGCCGGAAACCCATACAGCAGCTGCCAACCCATCGAGAGCAAGTTCTGCCAGGATGCCAACAAGTGCCAGTGCAACGAGCGAGTCGAGTGCCCGGATGGCTACAGCTGTCAGAAGGGCCAGTGCAAGAACCTATGCTTCCAGGCAGCTTGTGGTCCCCGTGCCATTTGCGATGCCGGCAAGTGCATCTGCCCCATGGGCTACATTGGAGACCCGCACGATCTCATCCAGGGATGCAGCGTGCGCGGCCAGTGCAGCAACGACGCCGACTGCCAGCACACGGAGATCTGCTTCCAGCTGGGCAAGGGTCTGCGCAAGTGCGTCGATGCCTGCTCCAAGATTCAGTGTGGACCCAATGCTCTGTGCGTGGCTGATGGTCACCGATCCTCGTGCATCTGCTCCGATGGGTTCTTCGGTAACCCGAGCAACCTGCAAGTGGGCTGCCAGCCTGAACGAAAGGTGCCCGAAGTGGACCACACATGCAAGTCCGACAAGGACTGCGAGCGAGGATTTGGTTGCCAAATGAATCCCCAGGGAACCCGGGAGTGCGTCAACCTCTGCAACAATGTAGTCTGCGGGCCTAACGAACTCTGCAAGATCAACAAGAAGGGTCTGGCCAACTGCAACTGTGCCGAGAGCTATGCCTGGAACCCATTGATTTCCGCCTGCGAGAAGCCTTCTCTGCCAGACTGTACCAGCGACGCCAACTGTCCCGATGCCTCCGCCTGTCGACCTGATGTCCTGGGCGTGCTGAAGTGCGTTGCAATCTGCGATGCCTTCACCTGCCCGGCCAACTCAGTCTGCGTGGCCCGCCAACATCAAGGACGTTGTGATTGCCTCCATGGATTCGTGGGCAATCCCAACGACAGGAACGGATGCCAACCGGTTCAGAAACACCAGTGCCGCAGCAACGCCGAGTGCCAGGAGTCGGAAGCCTGCATCAAGGACGAGGCCAGCCAAACCCTGGGATGCCGACCGGCCTGCGATGCGGTCAAGTGCGGACCCCGTGCCGTGTGTATCACAAACAACCACCAGGCTCAGTGCCAGTGCCCGCCAGGACCATTTGCCGGAGATCCGTACGATCCTTTCAACGGCTGCCAGAGCGTTCCCTTGCGTTTACAATCATGACTGTCCGCCCAGCCAGATGTGCAACCGAATGACCCACACCTGCTTCGATGTCTGCGACGAGGAGTCCTGCGGTGAGAACGCCATTTGCTTGGCCGACGACCACCGAGCCGTATGCCACTGCCCGCCCGGATTCCGTGGCGACCCGCTTCCCGAGGTGGCCTGCACCAAGCAAGGAGGATGTGCGGCCGGAACCTGCCATCCATCAGCCATCTGCGAAGTTACTCCCGAGGGCCCGGTGTGCAAGTGCCCGCCCCTGTTTGTGGGAGATCCCAAACGTGGAGGCTGTCGTCCAGATGGTCAATGCCCCAACGGAGATGCTGACTGCCCGGTGAACACCATATGCGCCGGAGGAAGATGCCAAAACCCTTGTGACAATGCCTGCGGACCAAATGCAGAGTGCAAGGTGGTCAACAGGAAACCCGTCTGCAGCTGCCCACTTCGCTTCCAGCCCATCTCGGACTCGGCTAAGGGAGGCTGTGCCCGCAGCCAATCGAAGTGCCTCACGGACGTGGACTGCGGCGGAGAGCTGTGCTACAACGGACAGTGCCGCATCGCATGCCGGAACTCGCAGGATTGCTCCGATGGCGAGAGCTGCATGAGCAACGTCTGCGTGGTAGCCTGCCTGGATCACAGCCAGTGCTCCACTGGGCTGGCCTGCGTGGAAGGTCACTGCACCATCGGCTGCCGCAGCAACAAGGAGTGCAAGCAGGATCAGTCCTGCATTGAGAATAAGTGCCTGAATCCCTGCCAATCTGGAAGCAGTTGCGGACCCAACGCCCTGTGCAGTATTTCCCAGCACCGTAGCCAGTGCACCTGTCCCGATGGCTTTGAAGGTAATCCCACCCCGGAACAGGGATGCGTCCGAGTGCCCGCCCCGTGCTTGGCCAGCAACCAGTGTCCCAACGGACACATGTGCATCGGCAACCAGTGTAACCTTCCCTGCACCAAGACCTCGGCCTGCGCCGTTGGCGAGCGCTGCTACCAGCAAGTGTGCCGCAAGGTGTGCTACACCAGCAACAACTGCCTGGCAGGAGAGATCTGCAACTCGGACAGTACCTGCCAGCCGGGATGTGACTCGGATGCGGACTGTCCGCCCACGGAACTATGCTTGACCGGAAAGTGCAAGTGTGCCGTAGGATTCATCGGAACTCCCTTCGGATGCTCCGACATTGATGAGTGCACAGAGCGGCCATGTCACGAGAGTGCCCGGTGCGAAAACACCCCTGGATCGTACCGCTGTGTCTGCCCAGACGGCACAGTCGGCGATGGCTATACCCAACCAGGATGCTCCACGCCTCGTCAATGCCACCAACCGGACGATTGCGCCAACAATCTTGCCTGCATCCATGGCAAGTGCACAGATCCTTGCCTGCACACCGTTTGCGGAGCCAACGCCCACTGCCAGTCTGAGGGACACGAGGCCTTGTGCAGTTGTCCCGCCGGCTTCCTTGGCGACCCCAATGATACTGGAGTCGGTTGCTTTAAGGTGGAGTGCATCGATCATGTTGACTGCGCCGGAGATCGTGCTTGTGACTCGGAGACCAATCGCTGCATTAAGCCCTGCGACCTCATAAGCTGCGGCAAAGGCAATTGCCAGGTGGAGGACCACAAGGCCGTGTGCGCCTGCTACGAAGGATACCAGCTGGTCAGTGGAGGAGTGTGCGAAGATGTCAACGAGTGCCTGGCGAAACCCTGCCACAGCACAGCCTTCTGCAACAATCTGCCAGGAAGCTACAACTGCCAGTGCCCAGAGGGATTGATCGGCGACCCCATTCAAGCCGGCTGCCGAGACCCCAGCGAGTGCCTGAGTGATGCGGATTGTCCCAGCTCGGCCAGTTGCCAGAACTCCCGTTGCAGAAGTCCTTGCGAACGTCAAAATGCCTGCGGCTTGAATGCCCAGTGCCAGGCACAGGGCCACCAGGCCATCTGCACCTGCCCAATGAACTCCCGCGGAGACCCAGCCATCGAGTGCGTCCATATCGAGTGCTCGGACAACGACGACTGCTCAGGAGACAAGGCTTGTCTGGATGCCAAGTGCATCGATCCCTGCTCTCTGCCCAATGCGTGTGGAGCTCAGGCGCGCTGCTCTGTTCAGAACCACATCGGAGTCTGTTCCTGCGAGTCGGGAAGCACCGGCGACGCCAAGCTGGGCTGTGTCCCACTGCAATACTGCCAGCAGGATGGCCAGTGTGCTCAGGGAAGCATCTGCTCCCACGGCATCTGTAGTCCCCTGTGCAGCACCAAGCGCGACTGCATCTCGGAGCAGTTGTGTCTACAGGGCGTATGCCAGGTGACCTGCAAGTCAAACTCGACCTGCCCCCAGTTCCAGTTCTGCTCGAACAACATTTGTACCAAGGAGTTGGAATGCCGATCGGATGCAGACTGTGGCGAGGACGAGACCTGCTTGAGTGACGCCTACGGCAGGGCTAAGTGCGAATCCGTGTGCCTCGGCCGGGCTGCCTGTGGAAGGAACGCAGAATGCGTGGCCCGTTCCCATGCCCCTGACTGCCTTTGCAAGGAAGGATTCTTTGGAGATGCCAAATCCGGATGTAGGAAGATCGAATGTACCACGGACGACGATTGCTCGAACGACAAGAGCTGCGATAATCACATGTGCAAGATTGCCTGCCTGATTGGACAGCCGTGTGGCGAGAATGCCTTGTGCACCACGGAGCACCACCAACAGGTGTGCCACTGCCAACCAGGATTCAGCGGAGATCCTCGGGTTCGCTGCGATGTGATCGACTTCTGTCGGGACGCTCCGTGCGGACCCGGAGCCCGTTGCCGAAACTCGCGCGGCTCGTACAAATGCACCTGTCCCCCAGGACTCGTTGGTGATCCGTACAACGAGGGCTGTCGCAGCTCCGTGGAGTGCGAGACCAACGAGGACTGTCCCCCGCATGCCGCATGCACCCAGACCAACGGTGTGGCCAAGTGCCGAGATGTCTGCGCCCAGCTGCAATGTGGCCCCAACGCGGAATGTGTTCCGAAGGGTCATGTGGCGCAGTGTGCATGCCGCAGCGGCTACGACGGCCAGCCCGCCGACCGGGTGGCCGGTTGTAAGCCTCTCCCCGTTCCCTGCCAGGTCACCGGCGACTGTCCGACCAACACATACTGCTCGGATAGCGTCTGCAAACGTAAGTACTAACCCACACCACCCAGCACCCGCCGAACCAGGTCCGAAACCGACTACTCTCCTCCGACAACGTAATTGGTTAATATACTTAGCAACATAACTTCTTAGAACTACTTACTCAACTACTTATCAACTTACTCACAAAAACCTAGCACTGATATACTGAAGTTGTGGCACCAAGAGAGATCATTATTGTGTTAGCTATATCTCAGATTTCCATTTAATTTTCATCCCCAAATCGTGATTTATTATGACCTTATTTGAAGGCAGAGATTTCTCTATTTGAAATATTAAATATATTGCTCTGAGTTGCCACAACTTCTTGATAGAACTACTACCTTGGACTGGCTTAAAGCCTTTGCATTAAACAAAATGCCACAACATAACCTAGACTAAAAGCCAACTAAACAAAAATACAACAAACTACAAACAATACAAAATTCAACAATTTACACAAACGACAGCACGCCACGAACATTGCGAGACCGTAACGCCAAAAGGAGAAAATATTACTTTACCCTCCTATACCAGATACTAAATGATCTCTTCTTCCACAAATAAATAGCGGCTTGTGTCCTGGACACCGAGTGTGGAGCTTCAGAGGTGTGCCAGGGAGGACAATGCTTCAATCCCTGCCTGCAACCCCAGGCTTGTGGCCAAAATGCCGAGTGCGTGATTCAGAACCACCTGAAACAGTGTCACTGCCCAGAGGGTTTCACAGGCGACTCTGCGAAGGAATGTGTCAGGGTGCCGGTGGCCTGTGATGGCGACTGTGCTCCTGGCTACACCTGCCGCGACTCCATGTGCCTGCCCCAGTGCCAAAACGATCTGGAGTGTGCCTCCAACGAGAAATGCCTCAGGGGCAACTGCATGCGTAAGTGATGACTTTATTTAATATTTAACCAGAGAAACCTCACCACTCTTAATAATTTCTTTAGTGACCTGTCGTGTGGACAACGATTGCTTCTTGGGACATGTTTGCCTGCACAACAAGTGCGTCTATGGGTGCCACGCCGACGAGGATTGCAGTGCCTCCGAGTCCTGCCGCAACGACAAGTGTGTGAATCCCTGTCTGGAGAGCCCCTGCGGACCGAATGCCGCCTGCTCGGTGTCCAACCACAGGGCGAGCTGCAGCTGCCTGGAGAGCATGGTGCCCAACCCGACGCCCCAGGTGGGCTGTGTGAGAGCTCCGCCACTGGAGTGCCGCGAGAATCGTGACTGTGGCAATGGACTGGCCTGCTTTGAGTCGGTTTGCCGACCTCTGTGCGCCGACGATTCCGGCTGTCTGACCAACGAACGCTGCCAGCAGGGAGTGTGCAAGCCGCTCTGCCGGCACGACAACGAATGCGGCCATGGTGAGCTGTGCCTGGGCTTGAACTGCGTGCCCGGCTGTCGCAACGACCAGGGCTGTCCCCAGGACCTCGCCTGTGTGGCTCAGCAGTGCATCGATCCATGTGCCGATCCCACTGCCTGCGGCACCAACGCTCTCTGCCTGACCGTCGATCATCGCAAGCAATGCTCCTGTCCCGAGGGCCTCGACGGCAATGCCAATGTTGCCTGCAAGGTGCCAAGGACTGCCTGTGCCAGGAACGAAGACTGCCAGACGAACCAGCTCTGCTATGCGGGCAGCTGCCAAGGCAAGTGCCGGAATGACCAGAACTGCTTAGCCGATGAGAGGTGTATGCGCGGCACTTGCCGCACCGTCTGCAACACCGACGATGCCTGCTCCCAGGGTCAGATCTGCGAGAATCGCATGTGCCAGACCGGCTGCCGCACGGATCTTAGCTGTGCCACCGACGAGGCCTGCGTGAATAAGAAGTGCCAGAACCCATGCAAGACACCCGGACAGTGTGGTCAGTGCGCTGACTGCCTGGTGGTCAATCACGGCGTCCAGTGCCAGTGCCCGGCTTCGTTTATCGGAGACGGATTAACCGGATGCCAGTTGCCTCCTGAACGATGCCATCCCGGCTGCGATTGCGATGAGAACGGAGCCTACTGTGCCAACAAGTGCTCGAGAAGCGAGGATTGCGCCTGTGGACAGCAGTGCGCTCGGGGAAAGTGCCGCAACAAGTGCGGACCCAAGCGCCAATGCACAGTGGGTCAGCTTTGCGAAAGGGGATCCTGCATCGCAGGTTGCAAGTCCAACGGAGACTGTGCTGCCGACCAGAGCTGTGTTCGAGGCAAGTGCACAGATCCCTGCGCCGATGACAAGGCCTGCGGAAGAAACGCCCTGTGTACGGTCTCGGAGCACCGCATGCTCTGCTACTGTCCGGACGGATACGAAGGTGAGCCCACCAAGGAGTGCGTGCAGTTCGAGTGCCGCGTGGACACCGATTGTGACACCAACAAACGCTGCGACCAAGGAAAGTGTCGCAATCCATGCCTGGAATACGGAGCCTGTGGCACCAATGCCCAATGCCGCGTGGTTAACCGCAAGGCGCAGTGTTCCTGCCCGCCTGATTTCTTCGGCAATCCTTCGAGCGAATGCCAGCCCCTGGAAGGAGGCTGCTCGAACAACCCGTGCGGCGTGAACTCCAAGTGCAACGAAGTACCCGGTGGATACGAGTGTGCCTGCATGGATGGTTGCATTGGAGATGCGCACAAGGGATGCCTCTGCGAGGGAACGCTGGTGAATGCCTGCCACGGACACCCTTGTGGCCGGAATGCCGAATGCCACGTACTGGATGGAAGTCAGCCGCAGTGCTATTGCCCAGATGGCTTACCCCACGGAGATCCTTATGTGGAATGTAAGTGATTGGCTTTTGTATTCCCCTTCAGTATTATTAGCCCTGTTTATCCGTTAAGGTTACCTGACTCCTCCGAAAGAGGACTGCCGCAACCAAGGCTGCGAGGTGGGCGACTGTGTTCGACAGGGCTCTGAATATGTGTGCCAGCAGGGTGAGTGCCAAGTTCATGTTTCCAGTCCATATGTTTTAGACCAAATCGTACCGTTAATGCTAATCAAGTTAACCAGCGTTCCTTACAAGTTATCGTTATTGTAATCAGTAAGCGTTATCGTTGAACTGGAGGTCTGTCAGTAACCAAATTGAAATATTGTTATTATTTTCTTGGTTTAATCTTCTAGTTTTGAGTTGTTTAAACACAAAAAACTTAAACCAGCTAATTAGCTAATTCCACTAATTCAAGGCCCTTGCGGCTACTTAGAGCATTTACCCAACAAACCGAATCTGATTTCAGTGTAGTGTGTGTGTGTTTTAAATGCCAAATCTAATTCGTAAACCGTAATATATATTTTGATTAATTTTTTCTTAACAACCTATACACATGTGCGAAGTTCCAGGTATTAGTCTAATATCGTTATTCCCCGCACGTACAAAAAACCAAACAAAAACACGCAACCAAACAGAAAAAAACCACCTACACAACAAACTCCCAAGATTGGCGTTATTATTTGCCAAAAATGCCAAAGAAAATATATTTCAGTGCACAATTTTTATTATGCAATTTTTTGTTAGCTTTCGTTTGATTTTTTTTCTTAGTTTTTAAGCACTTTACTTTACACTTTATAATACACACCATCAACGCATATGGAGATTCGTGGAATGTTGCTGTCGCTATCGCGGTTCCCCAATCTGTGCCTAAAATTCATTTCTGAAACACACATTATTATTCCGAAAAGACAAAACAAAACAGCAAAATTAAGTTTAGCAAATAAGCAAATTTAAACAACCTTACTAAAAATTATCATTCTCCACAAAAAAAACATCCTGAAAACAATAAAAAACAATATCAAAATGAGTTGGCTGTAGTTCCCATAAAGCTTGAATCTTGCCTTCTCATATCATTTGGCTTTTTCCAAAGCTCAGCTCAGCTTAACTCGACCTTTTCATTGAACTGTTTTTCTACGTTACCATACAATTGGCTTGAATAACCATCTGTATTGGCGCTCAACTATGCGGCATTCATTGGATATCGCGACTTGGAAACAGTTAACGCACAGATCTCAGTAGACAAATTGGTTCATCCCCACCTAACACACTTAGTCTAACGACAAACGCCGCGATAGCGATACGTAGCCAGTAAATTTTTCTAGTGAATTATAATAAAACTGGTTAACCACAAGAGTGCCACGAGAGAGGCGCCGATAAAGAGTTAAATTAAACCTGAATAAAAATCAAATAATCAACACAATGCCACGCTAATCCTATAGACAAGAATCCTCAACACATCCCTGATACTGAAAACAAAAATGATCGAAATCCCCAACCGAATAATCCCATCCCGCCTCCAATTCCGCTCTGCCCTGCTCTGTCGTATCCTTTCGCTAAATATTCCCCCCTATTTTTTACAATTCTTAAATGAACAAAGTCTCAGATTGGGAACTGTGGACGGGACAATTCTCACACATAGTTCACATATGCTTGAAACCGATTCGAAACCGATCGAGGAACATAGTAGTCAGTTAAGATCCATTACAACTGTGTACAGACCGATTACCGAAAACAATCAATTAAAGCAACATCAACAGCTAATACTACTTTTCAATGCATCCCCAAAGCAAGTCTACAGTATAACCGAAACAATAAACCAAACAATAAAAAAAACCATTTATTTTGTACAAAACTCCTTTGAAAGTACATATTAAGATCGTAACTCTGAAAGCTCTTCCCTATCTACCACTCTCTACATAGATCGTCTATTGGTTAAAATCTTTATAAACACTCCGAATTGATTAAATTGTAACTAAATTTAACTAACCCTTTCAAATATGTTTTGGTACAATTGACTAGTGATTAAGTTGTATATATATATGCAAAAGTTTGTACATAATTGTACATATACTCGTAACCGACAAGGCTGCATCTGAAGTGGCCGATCGAACTAACCCACATAATTTTTTTCAAATCTGTAAATATGAAATTTGAAGACTGTGAATTATTAATAACATGGATAAGTCGAACTAGTCACGTATATCTCTAACGTAATTTTCAAAATTGTATTTACCCATCGATTTTCCACTATGTACTACTACATACTTCTTCCAACCTGCTCCTACTAAGCCTTTCCCTTCAAAGCTAATCCTCTTCTAGCCAGACTTCTACCTCCTGACAAGATTTCTATTCTTCCCTGATCTCTCCTCTGAATCAATCACTCACCAAAACCAATCGCCAATAACGTGTCTCTCGTGAGGGCAGAGCGCATGTGTTGGATGTCGTGTAATTTTTACCATTACTCAAAACTCAAACTCAAAACTGAACAAACAATAAACCAAAATATATAATAGCTCGAATTCGCATTAATCCCGAGATAATTCATTGCTCAATCAAGACTGCCTATATAGTACAGCATCACAAAATTAATTGGGCAGACGGGGAAAGTGCCAGGCTCTCCTGCTCTAAGCTCGCTCGTAAATGGTAAATCATCAAGGATTGTAACTATTGCTCACTATTGTTATCACCGCCTACTCGCTCTCTTGAACTCCTATCAAAATCAACAAAAATTCACACCAACCGCCGACAAATCCCAGCCAGCCATATCCTCTGAATGGTTATGTGTCCGGCTTGCGTATAAAAACATACAAACCTAGTTATTGTGAGATGTTCCCTTCACAGTTCTACAATTTGAATTAGACCAACAAAAACAATTAATTAAATTGCTCCAACTAACTGCACCAACTGGCTGGGCTTGGCCAAGGCCGATGCCAAAGCCAAGCTCATGCAAACCAAGCTTTTATTTTCTTAAGTTATGTTTTCGTTTTCGTTATTTATGATTTCTGTATGCACCGTTTCTGATCTCGTTGAACTCCCCAGCTAAAATTTTCTTTTTAACTTAACACACCCTCATGCACAAAACCCCCAAAAAACCCCGAAATCGAGTCCCCAACAATCCCACTGACACTTATTTGAGCACAGAAACCGACCCACCGCCACCAAACATACAAACCCCACCCAAAAACACCGAAAAACACACCAAACACTCAGAAACAAAGAAGCCCGCATCGAAACCAACCAGATTATAATGTTTATATATTGTCTTGTTTAAGTCTCTCCTATTGTTTTTAGAAACATCTAGCTATAAGTTATACCCGAATCCCCGATCCAAAATTATGTGTTTACACCACTGCCCCACCCCCCAACAAAGCCCTGAAACCTTCACAAGGCTGTTCGTCTATCAGACTCTAGTTCTCGACAATATTTCAATGTCGCACTTTCTCGTATCCACGTGTTTCCCGATCCCCCTCCAAGAATGATATATCTATTTAGTAGCGTATCGTTTATGCCACCGAATAGTTGAATGCACCCACCAACGATTAACATTTAAACAACCAAACAACTCCTGTCTATCTCTCTCTCGTTCTTCCCTGCCCTGGATGTTATGTTGTAGACACCGAACAATGCTACTCAGACACGGATTGTCCCAGTGAAAAGTCGTGCCTCCAAGGACACTGCAGCGATCCTTGTACAATGCGTGGCGCTTGTGGCTTAAATGCGCTTTGCAAAACTGTTCTGCATCGGCCGCGCTGCTCTTGCCCCAGCTGCCACATCGGCCGGCCGGATGTGGAGTGCAAGCCGGACCCCAAATGCATCCCGGATGACACGGATGCCAAGACCAAGGAGCAAATACCTTGCACCAGCGACTCCGAGTGTCCGGAGACGTTGCAGTGCGGCCAGTATGGCCAGTGCACGGATCCGTGCAACAATCCCCTCTTCATCTGCGAGAGCAACAAGAAGTGCGAGACGCGGCGCCACCAGCCGGTGTGCATCTGCAAGTCGGGCTTTATTGTGAACGAGTATGGCGAACTGACCTGTGCCCCGGACAAGCGGGAGTGCTATCGCGACGATGACTGTGCCTCGAACATGGCCTGCACGGACGGCAAGTGCCGGAATCCGTGCATCGTCCCCCTGGGACGGTCGCCGATCTGTGCGGAGAACAAGTCCTGCGAGGTGCAGAACCACAAGCCCGTGTGCATCTGCATGCGTGACTGCCAGCCCTCGATCTCGATCTGCCTGCGGGACGCCGGCTGTCCGGCCGGGCTCGCCTGCCGCAAGCTGCAGTGCGTCGATCCGTGCAAGTTTGCCACATGCGCCCCCAACTCGCCATGCATTGTCGAGGATCACAAGCCGATATGTAAATTCTGCCCAGCTGGATTTATAGCCGATGCCAAGAATGGATGTCAAAAAGGTAAAGCACCACATGTACTCTCTCTCACTCAGAACTCTGTCGAGTGAAAGTGCCTTATGTTTCTGTCTTGAATATCTCTGTTTCCTGCTCTCTATATCTCACACACGCTCTCACCTTTTGCTAGCTCTGTCTTATTGTCTGTCCCCTCACCAAGCAAAAAAAAAAATTAAATAAATATATACAACCGATCGCCAACGGGGAAACACATTGGCCAAGGCCCCTGTCCTGTTCGGCGCCTTGTCAATATTTTTCCCCCGCGATGTTTGTGTAAATGTACATAGGACTGAGAAATTAACCGCCTGTACGGGTACAGGGTTCCAAGCTTTCGCCTATCGAAGTGGCCAATAGCCAAACTAGCCAATTAAAAAACCACTTACCTCCCGAAAAGCCAAGTTACAAGCGGAAAGCGACCATTAACCCCACGGTCCAATGCTTTATGCCACTAGCACAGCGACTAGGCTGAAGCACCTTAAGAATGAGTTGTCCAACCTTTGATCCGGCGGATCACGTTGCATTCCTGCGGGAGTGTCAACCGAAAAGATGAAATACATGAAGACACAACAACAAGAAAACTCTTCTGAACATTCACACACGCTCATGCTCACAGTGATATTAATCAATTAATTAATCAAAATCCTCCTGAATACTCGTACTATGATTCTTAACCTATGACTCTAAACAAACGGTAACAAGATGTAACACTAATGGTAAACCTAAACCAAAACAATCCAACACCAATATGTAGCTAACTAATAGTAAAGAAGTTTGTTTCTAATTTGAAATTGATTAACCGTAAAATAGTTGATAAAGCTTCCGAAATAGTATTACCTTTGCAGTTGTTCCCAAATTGCAACAGAGATTGAACGAAATTCCCGATCAGTATTCTTCTAGGTACGCCCCTTCTGTATATATAGTGCACCTCCCTCCCTTTTGTAGCTTTACACCACTTCCTATCTTATATTTGGTAAAATTATTTGTAAATATTTTAACGTATTTTTATTTTTTAAATCTTACATTTTATTTTGAAATATGTACAAAATACTACATTCCAAAAAAAAAAACCCAATAATATGTAAAAAAAAAACAAACCCCAAAATGAATTGTCGAAGCAGCTAAGCCAGGTGGCAACTGTACCTCAAACGAAGATTGCAGTGAAGCACACCAATGTGGATCATCTGGTCAATGTATCGATCCCTGTCAATCGCTCTGTGCAGGCGCCGTAAAGTGCGTCACGTCAGCACACAGGGTCACCACGTGCATCTGTCCAGACACCTTGACGAACGCGACCGCCCCGAACTGCTTTCCCACCGAACCAACACCCCCGACCACCGCCCAACCACTTGATATGACAACCGAATCGATGACCATAAAGTACACTATTATGCAATTGGCAAACCAAACCGAAATGCGCACCCGTTTCACCGACATTGAGGCTGAAAACGAAACGACAGTTCCCTACGATAGCACAACCGAATCATATAAGACGACTAAGCAACTAACGATCGACGGCAGGCCTACTCCTCCAACGCCACTACCTGAAACCAGTGTTGTCCCTGAAGTGACCACTTCTTCACCCGTAAATCTGACAGATACATCCACAAAAAAACCTAGTGAGGAAACTACAGTAGGATCTGATCCTAGAGCCGGCATTCCCACTTCTTCCACAACCATTAGTCCATCAGACTCCTCTGAAATAACCACGTCCCTACCAACTGATACTACTCCTGGTCAGCCTGTAGAAAAAGCCTTTGAGGAGACCACAGTACGATTTGATGGTAGATCCACCATTCCTACTCTTCCTTCCGAGACGGGACGATCCACAGTAACCCCAGAAATAACCCCTTCCCTACCCAAGGATACAACTCCTGGAAAACCTACAGAAAAGGCCTTTGAGGAGACCACAGTACGATTTGATGGTGTATCCACCATTCCTACTACTGCTTCCGAAACAGAAAGACCCACAATAACCCCAGAAACTAGCACTTCCCTACCCAGGGATACAACTCCTGGGCAACCTACAGAAAAGGCCATTGAGGAGACCACAGTACGATTTGATGGTGTATCCACCAATGTTTTCCGAACACAGACTAGACTTCTCTAAAACCAAAAGATGAGACACAGAAGACCCCAGGAAGGAAAAATTTTATCCACCATTCCTACTGCTGCTTCCGAGACAGAAAAGACCCACAAGTAACCCCAGAAACTAGCACTTCCCTACCCAGGGATACCACTCCTGGGCAACCTACAGAAAAGGCCTTTGAGGAGACCACAGTCATTTGATGGCAGATCCACCATTCCTACTTTCCTTCCAAACAACCCACAGTAACCAACCCAACAAAACATTAACAGTATTATTTGATGGTGGATCCACCATTCTCTACTGCTTCCGAAACAGAAAGACCCACAGTAACCCCAGAAACTAGCACTTCCCTACCCAGGGATACAACTCCTGGGCAACCTACAGAAAAGGCCTTTGAGGAGACCACAGTACGATTCGATGGCAGATCCACCATTCCTACTGTTCCCTCCGAAACGGGACGACCCCCAGTAACCCCAGAAACTAGCACTTCCCTACCCAGGGATACCACTCCTGGGCAACCTACAGAAAAGGCCATTGAGGAGACCACAGTACGATTTGATGGTGGATCCACCATTCCTACTACTGCTTCCGAAACAGAAAGACCCACAGTAACCCCAGAAACTAGCACTTCTCTGCCCAGGGATACAACTCCTGGGCAACCTACAGAAAAGGCCATTGAGGAGACCACAGTACGATTCGATAGTGGATCCACCATTCCTACTGTTCCTTTCGAAACGGGACGACCCACAGTAACCCCAGAAACTAGCACCTTACTACCCAGGGATACAACTCCTGGGCAACCTACAGAAAAGGCCATTGAGGAGACCACAGTACGATTCGATAGTGGATCCACCATTCCTACTGTTCCTTTCGAAACGGGACGACCCACAGTAACCACACTCCGAAACGGGACGACCCACAGTAACCGCAGAAACTATCACTTCCCTACCCAGGGATACTACTCCCGGCCAGACAACAGAAAAGACTATTGAGGAGACCACAGTACGATTTGATGATAGAGCCGCTATTCCCTCATCAACTTCCAAGTCTAGTATCCCATCCGTCTCCTTAGAAACCACCACTTCCCTACCCAGGGATACAACTCCTAGGCAACCTACAGAAAAGACCATTGAGGAGACCACAGTACGATTTGATGGTGTATCCACCATTCCTACTACTGCTTCCGAAACAGAAAGACCCACAGTAACCCCAGAAACTAGCACTTCTCTGCCCAGGGATACAACTCCTGGGCAACCTACAGAAAAGGCCATTGAGGAGACCACAGTACGATTCGATAGTGGATCCACCATTCCTACTGTTCCTTTCGAAACGGGACGACCCACAGTAATAACCCCAGAAACTAGCACCTTACTACCCAGGGATACAACTCCTGGGCAACCTACAGAAAAGGCCATTGAGGAGACCACAGTACGATTTGATGGTGTATCCACCATTCCCACTACTGCTTCCGAAACAGAAAGACCCACAGTAACCCCAGAAACTAGCATTTCTCTACCCAGGGATACAACTCCTGGGCAACCTACAGAAAAGGCCATTGAGGAGACCACAGTACGATTTATACGATTCGATAGTGGATCCACCATTCCTACTGTTCCTACCGAAGAAACGGGACGACCCACAGTAACCCCAGAAACTAGCACTTCCCTTCCCAGGGATACAACTCCTGGGCAACCTACAGAAAAGGCCATTGAGGAGACCACAGTACGATTTGATGGTGGATCCACCATTCCTACTGTTCCTTCCGAAACGGGACGACCCACAGTAACCGCAGAAACTAGCACTTCCCTACCCAGGGATACTACTCCCGGCCAGACAACAGAAAAGACTATTGAGGAGACCACAGTACGATTTGATGATAGAGCCGCTATTCCCTCATCAACTTCCAAGTCTAGTATCCCATCCGTCTCCTTAGAAACCACCACATCCCTACCCAGGGATACAACTCCTAGGCAACCTACAGAAAAGACCATTGAGGAGACCACAGTACGATTTGATGGTTATCCACCATTCCTACTACTGCTTCCGAAACAGAAAGACCCACAGTAACCCCAGAAACTAGCACTTCTCTGCCCAGGGATACAACTCCTGGGCAACCTACAGAAAAGGCCATTGAGGAGACCACAGTACGATTCCATAGTGGATCCACCATTCCTACTGTTCCTTTCCGAAACGGGACGACCCACAGTAACCCCAGAAACTAGCACCTTACTACCCAGGGATACAACTCCTGGGCAACCTACAGAAAAGGCCATTGAGGAGACCACAGTACGATTCGATAGTGGATCCACCATTCCTACTGTTCCTTTCGAAACGGGACGACCCACAGTAACCGCAGAAACTATCACTTCCCTACCCAGGGATACTACTCCCGGCCAGACAACAGAAAAGACTATTGAGGAGACCACAGTACGATTTGATGATAGAGCCGCTATTCCCTCATCAACTTCCAAGTCTAGTATCCCATCCGTCTCCTTAGAAACCACCACTTCCCTACCCAGGGATACAACTCCTAGGCAACCTACAGAAAAGACCATTGAGGAGACCACAGTACGATTTGATGGTGTATCCACCATTCCTACTACTGCTTCCGAAACAGAAAGACCCACAGTAACCCCAGAAACTAGCACTTCTCTGCCCAGGGATACAACTCCTGGGCAACCTACAGAAAAGGCCATTGAGGAGACCACAGTACGATTCGATAGTGGATCCACCATTCCTACTGTTCCTTTCGAAACGGGACGACCCACAGTAACCCCAGAAACTAGCACCTTACTACCCAGGGATACAACTCCTGGGCAACCTACAGAAAAGGCCATTGAGGAGACCACAGTACGATTTGATGGTGTATCCACCATTCCCACTACTGCTTCCGAAACAGAAAGACCCACAGTAACCCCAG